TCGTTTTCTGGCATCTTTTCTTCAAAACAGACCCCAAAATGATAAAATAGCTTGCAAAATTAAGTTGACAAACATAAAAGATAAAGTATTTCTTGACGTTAACGAAACCCAAGTATTTGGTTCGAGTATATTATCGCTGTTTATACGGCAACGAACGTGAATTATTTTCCCAAACTAAAATGGTCTTTGTTAGAGGTATTATGCGACTGGATACGAGGGTTTAATTTGAGTGGGTCAAACCAGTGGCGTAGCTAGGGTGGGGCAGGGGGTACATATGTCCCTGGGCGCCAAGGTACAGGGCGCCAAAATGAGGCTTACAACATTACATTATAATAAGTAAAATAGAAAAATGTGATTAAACGGGGAGAGGGCTGGGGCGCCAATTTTATAGTTCGTCCCCGGGCGCAAAATATCAAAGCTACGCCTCTGGATCAAACATGGGTAAATATGGTAGTACGTGATTTGAACACGTGTCAAGCTCAGTTATACTGATCAAAATTATTGTGATACTTAAATCACACATCTATAAATCACGTCACTCTGCCGTGATACAAAACACACAAACACATACATCTAACACACCCTCTCTGAAATTTGCTCTGAAAGCGGAGTCTGAATTTTATTGCTTGTCAGAGTACTACAACTTAACCTTGCGTACAAGGTATGTTTTTGGTAAAATGACACTGATTTATCCTTGAAATACTCCATGTTGCAATTCATGTAGATCTCGCTTTTAGTCTCTTGGAAAAGTTTAATATATTAAACATGTATTTGGATTTCCATTTTTAGAATTTGACCTTGAATCTGCATCATACATACATAAATGCATGCATGCATGTATACATCCATCCATGCATACATACATGCAAGCATGCATGCATGCATACATACATACACACATACATACATACATGCGTGCGTGCGTGCGTACGTACGTACATACATACATACATACATACATACATACATACATACATACATACATACATACATACATACATACATACATACATACATACATACATACATACATACATACATACATACATACATACATACATACATGCATAATTACATACATACATACTTTCATACATGCATACATACATAGATACTTACATACATACATACATATATACATGCATGCATGCATGCATGCATACATACATACATACATACATACATACATACATACATACATACATACATACATACATACATACATACATACATACATACATACATACATACATACATACATACATACATACATACGCACGCACGCACGCACGCACGCACACACACACACACACATACATACATACATACATACATACATACATACATACATACATACATACATACATACATACATACATACATACATACACACACACACACACACACACATACATACATACATACATACATACATACATACATACATACATACATACATACATACATACATACATACATACATACATACATACATACATACATACATACATACATACATACATACATACATACATACATACACACACACATATACATACATACATACATACATACATACATACATACATACATACATACATACATACATACATACATACATACATGCATGCATGCATGCATGCATGCATGCATGCATACATACATACATACATACATACATACATACATACATACATACATACATACATACATACATACATACATACATACATACATACATACATACATACATACATACATACACACGCACGCACGCACGCATGCATCCATGCATGCATGCAAGCATACATACATACATACATACATACATACATACATACATACATACATACATACATACATACATACATACATACATACGTACGTACGTACGTAAGTACGTACGCACACACACACACATACATGCATACATACATACATACATACATACATACATACATACATACATACATACATACATACATACATACATACATACATACATACATACATACATACATACATACATACATGCATGCAAGCATGAGTTAAAAAATCTGTTGTACTATTTTATAAATTTGTCGCCATCTAGGAGGTGGTGGTCTTGTCTCATTCTGGGTTTCGGTACTGTATTTATTACATTAGATTACATTCTTCACTGTTTACGACTTTACTTTTGTAGATGCTCATTGTTAAAAGGATGGGATTGTTGACTTTAAATCAAAAACTTGCATGTTAGAATACAGGACTTAACAAAGATTTTATACCCGTGCTTTAAGAAGCTGTGGTATATGTGATTCACTCTGTGCGTCCTAGAGTACATGCTTACTCCATCAAATCATGGGTTGTTTGTTTGAAAACAGTTTTGGCCACTCGTTCTTCATATTTCTGGAAAAACAAGAATGCGTTTCACTTTGTCAGGTTTAAATATGTCAGTGCCCAAATTATAATCACAATATGAAAAACAATGTAGGTTTCTTTTGAGTGGGTTTTTTTCCCTTATAATTTGTATTGTTGACTTTCTGTCAGATTTGACAAAATCATACATACATACATACATACATACATACATACATACATACATACATACATACATACATACATACATACATACATACATACATACATACATACATACATACATACATACATACATACATACATACATACATACACACACACACACACACATACATACATACATACACACACACACACATACATACATACATACATACATACATACATACATACATACATACATACATACATACATACATACATACATACATACATACATACATACATACATACATACATACATACATACATACATACATACATACATACATACATTCATACATACATGACTATATTTCTTACTTTTCAATTAAAAAACAAGATAAACACAAACGCGCATACATTGGTTAATATAGATACATGTATGCATAAATATATCGATCACCAATGTTATAAATTGTCAGAAGAATGGGGTACATTTTGTCATATTAGAAATATTGTACTTAGAAATTTATTATGTTTTAGAGTTTTGTTATATTCAGTCATTGAAGTCTAAGATAACAGGCTTTTACAACTCTCAACTTAATGATGATTTTCAACTTACATCCCTTTTCTCAACTTCTGATTTGATCTAAGACTGAAATAGAGAATGCGTTATTTTGTGCAAAGCGCGTGTATATGCTCTTTATTGGATATCATCTCAAGCAAAGGTATTTCATTTCGGTTTTACTGCTTCTTCAGTTATATCGATTTGTTTTTTAATTTAATGCAAAGAATGCTTAAATGTTCAACACCACTTGAGTGATGCCAATATTCCGTATTTATCCGTGTATCTATCTGCGAATCTCATATATCCGGATCATCGTCAAAATTGTTCAAGTGTCTGCTGTTGATAGAAGGTGCGTACTAAATACGTACCGTACATTATATCTAGTGTAAGCCGGTATACTATACGTTTTACGTTGGCAGTGAATTTGATATATCGCATATCAAGTAGGTTCGTTTGGTTATTCTTCTGTGTGTTATATGTTTTGAAGGAGAGCATCCGTTGGGGGAGAAAACAGGCATGCTATTGCCGCACTCAGAACCTTCCATTGCTTGCAACATTTTTTGAACTCTAGCTATCCAATGTATAACGGCATGTTAAAAGCCAGATCTCTTGCGATCGAGACTTTTCGAATTCGGTGCTTGTTGGTACCGTGGCAGCGCAGAGACACTCCATACACAATGTAATTGACTCGATACTAAGGTGTACGTACATACAGCTGGTTTTATTTAGATTGTTTCGTCTTGAAAGTGGAACAAATGTTTAAAATGCAGTTTTTAAATGACTTTCAAAAATTTCTCGGGAATATTAGGGTACAAGACTTGTAAAAAGGATTTTTTAAGCTTCAGAGACATACACTGGTGAGCGGGTGAAGAACAACAATTCATTCCTACGATGCAGAATAAATTACGGCATACAATTTCGGAATTCCCTTTAAATGCGGAATACAAAGAATTTGTAGTGTTCTTTAGGATATGAATATTCTCATCCCAAAAATGTGACTGTTCAGTAGTTAAGGCATTCCTCCATTCTGGTCTAAGTAATCAATTTATACTAATGTTTTGTGCTGCTATACAAAACGAGTGGTTAGTATCAGTGAAAATAACCATCAAGGTATGTGCCTGCACACTTATATCTGACCCTGGCGTATGCTAAATAAGTAGGTATGGACAGTAGCAACGTGGTTATTGTGATTACTGTATCACTTATTCCATAGGAAGTGTGAAGTCGTATTATCTACCACGAAGCATAGTATATATATTTACAACGGAATTCAACTGAGACGGGATTTACCTGTTACTATTACTAGATACAGCAGAAAACGCAGTGATTAGAAAAATAAAGTGAAAGTTGGACGTGAACTAGCAGTACAAAATTAATGATATGATACTTCGTTGTCTTAATATAAATACGATTCCATGACAGTATTAGTTCTTTGCAAAGTCATCGTTTTGGATTGTTGATAATATCTTGTTGAAAACTGTTGATACTTTAAAGTGGAAATCTGTTACTTCAGTAATGCACATTCTGAGTGTAAAATTGCGCAGATTTAATTATAATGAGGAAAAACATGCTCAGAGATGCAGTGCATTTTCTAATGGCAATAAGTTGACTTTTATCAGGTTGGTGTAATTATTGATCGTAAGACTGGTATAAAACTGTAGAAGGAGAAATCCTTGTCTTCTGATAATATACTGGAAAATATACTTTCAAGATGAATTGCTGTAGCGGAAAATCTTCGAGTGTGGCTAAGGTAAGTATATGTGTTCATTTGTTTCCTGAATATTTCATTACCAAACGACATTTAGCTACCTTGGCCCTTAAACTTGCATGAGCTGCGGTTACTACATTGCTACTACTACTACTACTACTACTACTACTACTACTACTACTACTACTACTACTACGACTACTGCTGCTGCTGCTGCTTGCCGTTACGGTGACATAGGTGGTTAGGGCATCTGCCTCAGATGCGGGAGGTCGCGGGTTCAAATTCCGACCGAATCATAACAAAAAGTTACAAAATGGTACCAGCAGCTGCATCGCTTGGCGCTCAGCATTAAGAAGTTAGCGATAACACTGGTCCGCCTGGTGTCAGGATAATGTGACTGGTGGAATGCATGATACTACATGTCTACAGCATGATGCCGCTGTGTTAAACATCACTATCAACTGTCACACTGCAGACCGTCGAAATGTGACTGAAACATTTTTAAAACTACATTAAAAATTCAAACACATAGATACTAGATCACAAAAACACTAATAAGTAAGATTTATCGTAACTAAGTATTTTTGTTTAGGACAACTCACAGCTGATATAAGAACCGTTCTCCTTTTAGTACCCAATAAGTTTCGTACCAAGAGGGTTCAAACGCAATACATTTCTCAAGCGAAGTTACAACTTTCATGTTACACACTTTAGTAAATAAAAGGAAACAATAGATAGAATCTTATAAATAATATATACAATACCAGTTTACGTACCACGATAAAAACAAAATACCAGTTGACTTAATACGATAAAAGCAATAATCCAAAACTAATTGAAAAGTAATTTCACAGATCCTTATTACTTTGCTATTGAGTAAATTAGGTTAAATTGGTAACAGATTTATCTCTCCTTTAAATTTGATTTAATCATTTAAGGCTGTATGCTGTTACGTTTCTTGGCTTGTACAAAAGTAACAAAGAAAATAGTGAAGCCAACAAGCTTTGTACATTTAACAAAATAATTTATTTTTATACAAAACAAGGTAAAAAATTAAAAAGGACTTATGATTTGTGAATCTAATCCAAAAATTTATCATAAAATTAAAAATATAAATCATGTCACTAAAACGTTTTAAATGAATCAAAGTTCGGATCCCGGCGAAGTTCCAAGATGGAAGGCGATGGCATCTTCTATAACCAGTTTTGTTGTTGTTTTGTGTGGTTTAATGTCATTTTTCAGCACACGATAGGCTATATAAGGCGGCCAGTATTAATGGCGGAGGAAGAAACCGGGAAATCACCGGAAAGAACCACCGACCCACGATAAGATACTCATAAGCTTTCTCACATATTCACATTCGCCGAATCCTAGACTCGAACCCACGCAGACAGAGGTGAGATGGCAGTGATCCGTAACGGACAGCGCTTTAGACCACTTGGTGCCCCATAATCAGTTTTGTGCTGTCGTGTCAACAGTTCCTTGGTGAATCACTACAATTAATATTCCGGCTTTATAATTCCTAATAATTTTCTAACAAATGTGTTTTATCCAAGAAATCTGATGAGCACTAGATATTTCCGGGAGAAAAAATTATTCTGAATTTAAAAAATTCAATTTGAACTGGTCACAACAAAACAAAATATATTTGAGCTCTGAAGGTATGATCTACTACTGAAATACATCACTATAAAATGTTATAGTTTTAACCGCAATTTAGATCACATGATGGGGTCACGTGGTCACTTAGCTTGAATGGCTTAGTAACACCATGGGCAGGCTGACACCTACGTCATGAACTAATTTAATTCTAATGAATAAATCTATAAGATTGAGAAGAAAAAAATTAAAAGTTGTTTACATAGAACTGACCCGCAAGCCAAGTATGACCTTGATTACGATTAACGGATTTTTACTCTAGGAAAGAAATAACAAAATGTTGTGTACCAGTTCTGAATCAAGGTCAGTAACTAAGCCAGCTAAAAATACAACGTATCAGTACTAATTATTTATCAAGGCAAAAGAGAACTTAACAGAATTTTCTGAGAAAAAAAATGCAAATCCAGTGAATAAAGTTATCATTATAATAACATGCAATCAAATTAAAATATAAAAAGAAATTAAAACTAACACACAAGTAATTAAATTGCATATACCTAACAATGCACAAAAATACGTCATTTAAGCAAGCCAAATTTCGCAATGTGCAAGCGCCAATAAATGTTAAAAATAAATTACTTAGGATCGATTCCCAATACATGATATATATGTCAACGATGTACAACTTGTAGTAGACGATATTCAGTTTTAATTAATTGCAGCTCTAAAATATACCTAATATTCCGTGTAATTTATATTGGTTTTCCCTCAGTATTGCTCAGAAGTCCAATTTAGTTTATTATTTTAGATGTTCGGGACTTCAAGTTAAATATAAGCGACACCATTCACTTGGAACATGTGTCAAATACTTGAACTTGAGAAACTTTTCCTACATAGTCGCTTAGAACACTCTCAGCTTCAGAATTATAGAGTCAAAAAGGCAATCTCTTCCTAAAATGTCATGAAGATTTTCCATTTGCATCCATCCTGTCATATCATCCAATATTGTAATGTCAGTTCTTCGGATGACTCTGTAAAAGGATGACTTTTTAGTAGTTGCGGTTTCGGATTACTTAGTGGTAGTTCATGGTTTCGGACGTCTTATTAGTAGTTCATTGTTTCGGATGACTTAGTGGTAGTTCGCGGTTTCCTGACTCCGTGGTAGTTCAGTATTGCTGATGACTCTGCTTAAAGGCTACGACAGCGAAATTGTTGGATATGTCATAGATAGTGGCAAAAATCATAAAGAGCCTTATGATGTTTTACAGTACAAAATTAGGGAAATTAGTGAACGAATACGATTTATTCTAACTTTCCATGCACATTTTGCCAACCAGCAGGGTGAGTCGTCAGATAAAAATCGCCTACCATAAAGTCATCCGAAATCTACGAAATTGTTTTCTCAAATAGACCAGTACGAGCATACATCAGAACAAATTGTCTGAAAGACATGCTCAATAGAGAAAATAATGGAAAATCTTCACAACCCAAGCTACAGGCAACAGATGGATCTTACGAACCGTGTGGGAATAAACGATGCCAGGCTTGCCAAAACGTAATCAAAAGTGCGATTTCACCAGCAGAGTAATGGGCAAAAATTAAATGTTGGCAGCAGTACCTTCACATTACAAAAGACCAAATGCTATATCTGTAAGAAATGCAAAACCTTTGCAATCTAGTGTGTTCGCGAGACCGATCAACTACATAGGATAATCAATCTACAAAAATCCGATTGACATAACAAGATAATTAACAATTCCCGTTGATTCGTCTTCCCAACATTTTACTTACAATGTCTGCAGTGTGGCATCGACAGTTATCGACTATTATTGTTCACAATCACACTGACATATTGACAAACACTTGCCCACGATCATAAATCGGACCTTGAAACCATAAGAACAAAGATTCACCAAGTTTTAACTCTTTTACCAAGCTCGCCTTAAATCAGAAAGAACACACAAACACACACACACACACACACACACACACACACACAAATGCAAAGTTTTAACTACGTTCATTTTTCTTTCGCCCGAACTTTAATTTTTATAACTCAATAATTTTATTCTAAAAACTATATCTGTGCAATTGGTGTTTTCTGAGATCGAATTCGGGTAACACATACGGCTATATACGGCTATATACTTGAAGTATGACTGGCATATTCTGCCAAATTTGACTTTTCTTTTTATGCGGTTTATACCTAGTTCGCCCTCAAGCAAGTTGCAATATTTATAGGTTTCTTGCTAGTATAGGATATCTTTCTTTTTCAGTACAAATAGTTCAAAGTATACACTTTCTCTACATTTTTAAGGATATATTAGTGTTGGGGTTTTTGTGATTCTGTTTGCTTCGTTGCAACATAATATGTAAATATATATTTTGTTTACATTTGGTGTTTGAAATTCTTCTCCGTTTGTAAAGCCAACGTTGAAAAAAGTGGTCCATACATCCCCATTTATGAATTTATCTACTTTGATTAGGTAACACTTATACATCGATATATACCTATGATCTCTCTCTCTCACACACACACACACACACGCACGCACACACACACATACACACATACACATACATACATACATACATACATACATACATACATACATACATACATACATACATACATACATACATACATACATACATACATACATACATACATACATACATACATACATACATACATACATACATACATACATACATACATACATATAATCTCTCTTCTCCATCTTTCTTTGTCCTTCCAATCAAGTCTATCCTGGGATTTTGTTTTATCTTAGAATCGGCACGCTAATTATATTTGGGTTTATTTGTTAAAAAAATATATTTAAACACTCTGGTTACTGCTTTTATATTTCGTATCCTATCCAAAGTACTTAAAGATAGATGAACAAATATATTTAAATTAAATAATATAAAGGGCATTATTGTTATAGAAGGAATGTTAGCAAATGGTGAAAGACAGTGATGTGTTAAAAAAACAACAAATGTCACCTATCCTCTTATTGTAATATTTTAGGGCACAATATCGAGATCAACACAAATATTAAACGTTTGTAATTGTGATATATTGTCCTCGAAAAAAATTTAATTTTACTTATTTTTTTTAATATTTGACTTAGTATAATATAAGCTAAGCTGGAAAGGGACGCTTGTTCTTCTTTGGTAAGACATCATTGTTATAACGCCATTTTGTCTTTAATATCAAGACTTGACTATCTAAGGTTTGAAGTGGATCGCAAATCGTGTGATGCGCGAATATTACCGTCAGCAATTGTTGGGCACAAAATATCGAGATTACAGTGTGTGTATGTGTGTGTGTGTGTGTGTGTGTGTGTGTGTGTGTGTGTGTGTTTATGCACAGTGTCAGCTAAAACTGTTGTCCCATTTATATTTTAACACTGTGACTTGCTTATTAAGGAGGTTTTATTTTTAAAAATATGTTGCAGAGAAAATACATATTATTGTAGAAACAACAATTCCAAGCGCAGTGACTGATCTTGATAAATGTTTTATTTGTTTATACACCGGGGTGACTATTTGTCCTGGGCAGTAAAATCAATCCATGTTAACAGGATTTATCCAACATTCTCTACACTTTGAGTTTTACACATGGAAGCAACTTCACCTTTCAGTGTTTCTATATCAGAATTACACAATATCTATGAAACGCATCCTTTCTGTGTCAGT